CTCTGGGAGGGAGTTTGGGAGCGGGAGGGGGTGTGTGGGGTGGGGGTGCAGGCTCTGGGAGGGGGTTGGAGGGCGTGGCACCCACCTGGGACTCCAAGGTGGTGTGGGCCAGGGGGCCTCCACGTGCTGCTGCCCCCAGATACCATCTTTGCAGCTTCCCATTGGCTACAGGGCCGCTTGGGGTGGGGGCAGCATGTGGAGACACAGCCCCGCCCTGGGGCCGGCACACATGTGGAGCGAGCAGGCAGAAGCCACTCAGCTCCACTGCGCTGCCAGTGATGTGTGGAGCCCCTGGCGATTGTAAATCTCCTGGAGGGCGCGGGGGGGAGGGGGGGCGGGGGGAGTGCCCGGGGGCGGCAGGCAGGGCCAAGGGAAAGACCCGGTCCCAAAATTGCTGGAGCCCTACAGGCCACATTGGGAAGGTTTTCGGGCTGCAGATGGCCCGCGAACCAGGAGTTTGAGACTCCTGATTTACATCATGTTAATGTTTTAAAATCCCTTTCAAATGCCAGTGCAACATTTTATAGAAAAGACTTCTGGTAGCAATGTACCTTCCGGTACTCTTATCAGCTACTTCTCAGGAAAAGGCTTTTGAGAGAGTTAAAGGTTAAACACAAAGTTCAAACACTCTGGCATACTCAAACATGGCAGGAAGCGGAGGTGATGATTATGCTAACACAAAAATCACAAGAATGGAAAATTGTATATTAATATTACACATGAGAATACAAAGATTTGAAGAAAATTGAGAACTTGCAAGGCATGGAGGTGGGGAAAGGTAACCTTACATACTGTACTGGGTTGTTACTCCAATCTCTCTTTGTTAGCATTAGTACTATTAGCAAAAGATAACAGTACTAATGCTAACAGAGTTAATAATTTAGGCTCTGATCATGTGGAGTTCGGTTGACTTCCGGGGTGCTCCATGTGGGTTCCATCATCATTGCTTCCATTGTTCTCAGTGCAGGACTGGTGCTTTAACTGGCAAATGAGGTATCAGACTGGGAAATTGTTAGAAACACCTGGTACTTCCTTACATTTTATAGGACACTTTTACTGGAATGTGTGCAAGAGTACACCCAGAAGAAGCCAGCCTAACTCTAAACAAGAAACCAAGAGAGCAGGAGCTAATTTTACTTAGGACTTATGTAAACAAATATGAAGAACGTTAACTGACCAGTCTCAGTTACATGGCTTAAGAAAAGCTTCGTTTCCTAGTTTTTCACTGGATTAGGGTTAGTAATGCTAGACTTAATACAAGCTATTTGAAGGTATGGGGAAAATCAGGAATACTTTTTACATCCTAGAAAACTAGTTTTGGATTTTAGAAGGAAGGCAAAGGAGTTCATATGCTGCTTTATAAATTTATAGCAAAACATTTAGGCATGTGAGTGCATTACTTAAGCATATGCTTAATGTTCTGCTGGATTAGGACCTTAGTCATATAGGGTTTTAAAAAGCACTTAGGTGATTTAGGAGTAAAAATCTCAGACTTTCAATGGGACTTGTATTCCATAACTCCCTGTAATATTGATGGGTACAACTTGAATACATCTACTGAATATTCATGAAATTATATTTGAATTATAACTTTTTTTTTTAGCTTAAGTGCTGGTGAAATGTTAGATTGGTGGCCTTGGAACCAAACTCCTTTTCCAAAGAAGAGGAATAGTATAGGACTTGGACAACTGTCATGCCACTCTTGAAGGATCTCTTTAGATGTAGTATGGTAGTTCATTGTCTCTCTAAGAATGCCAGTAGTAATAATGGCATTGTGAGTTAGTTGCCCCTGAGCAGTGGAAACACAACTGCTAAATCATGTCACATAGTCCACCAAACTGCCATCTGATGGTAACCACTTTTGCCTACTACCAACCTGAATTGGATTAGAACTAATATTAATTTATTTAAGTGGAATGTTTCTATAGCATAATATAATGGTGATGATTTTTTTACAATTGAAAGTGTTCTACTGTGATTTTTAGCCTGGATTCAAGTCAAACTTATATCTGCTACATGTTCATATTCTGGGGTTTTTTTTAAGAAAACAATAGAGCGTCTTATTAATACAATTACTAATTTTGAACTAGTGTTCTGCAGAAAAAATATATTATGAAACTCAATATTGTAAACCATCCTGTAGTTTATGTTGGATTTTCAACAAAGGATATACAGGAATCAGAAGTGGAATAGTTTTGTAAGCCAAAAATTAGAGGATGAAGTTTTGAAGCACACATTTTTCTCTTGTTAAATCCAGTATACTGACAAGTACAACAACCCCTCTGCACTTTGGCCCCAGTTCTGCCAAGCCTTAAGGCCTAGGCTTAGTCGCACTGTCTTCAGTGGAACTAATCACATACTTCAAGTTCAGTATGTGAATAAATCTTAGCATGATTGGGGTCCTTGAGAACTGTTCAGACTTATGTGCAGTTTCAGAAATATTTGTTTTAAAATCCCATTACTGTTTAAAACCTTAACCTTTCTTCAGCTGTGGGTATTATAAAGTCAGTTCTAGATTCTGGATCATCTCATCAACCATTCATCTGCTGTTCTTCTGTATTCTCTTAAAAATGTAATAGGAAACAATTTTCTGTGAAGACTCTCTAATAGTTTTATTTAGCAGATCTCAAATATGGGCTTTTGAAACTTCATTCTCTACCTTGTTGGAAAAAATGGGTATAATTTTTCTTGTTTCAGTTTCTGTGGAGTCTCTGCAGAGAATAGAGTTTCAACCTGTTTTGACAGGAAATCCGCTACCAATGTTTGCTTTTTATAGACCTCCCATTTTTCTGGTCTGCCTACACTTTTTAGCAAACAGTTAAGTTGTAATTGTGCCCATAGTGTGACACAGTTTTCTAGGGGGTATAAATGGTGAAATTTAGGAGATAGGATACCCCTATATCCTAAAGCTGCTGCTTTATTTAAATGAAAATATACCTGGTGCTAAGTGTGGCCAAATTATGGACACAATTTATGTAACAGCCATTCTTGATCTTGCCATTATTTAGTTATCTTTGCAGAAGGGAAAAATCTCCCCCCTCTGAAATGATCCCGGGAACTTGTGTGTGAACTCTTTAATAGTATGGTGACTAGATGAGGCTGTCTTAAGGACTACCATACCCCTGTTTCCACGGTTCGTCACAGCAGCAGCATATACCATGTCTCTGACCTGAGATGTTGACCTGTAAATTGTACACTGCTTGAGCAAATACTAGTTTCACAGTAAAGTCTTTTATCTGTTTTTTTTTTAATAAGGTGACCCATCACCATGGTATTTCATTTCCTTCCAAGTTTCTGCTTGCTAAAAGCTTAAGTTTCATTCGCCATCTTTAAATTCATTGCCATATTTCTCAGTTCTTAAGTATTCCTAGTACGTTCACTTTTTTAATGGTGGGCTGGCAGTGATAAAAATTAGATTTATTTTTCTCTGACTTAAAGTGAATAAAACTGTGGACTAGTGTACATGGTGACAAGGGTTTAGTGGCATACAGAAATTGGAAGCTGTAGATAATCACACCCAAGCAGGTGATCCCAAATATAAATATGTAATTAAAAATGTGACTACAAGTACCTCACATCTTGCCATGATGCGTGTGTGTGTAGATATAGATGATGTCAGTAGATCTCTCCTCCCTTTCCCCCCACCCCAGTATAACTAGGGGGAGAGAGACTACCTGATGACTTTTAGACAAGGATATAAACAGTGGAAAAAAATGGATGACAACATTCTAATAAACTTTTAAAGTAAACTTCACCATGTTGCTCAGTAGAGTAGTCTGAAAGCTCCCATTGGTGAAAAAATTTATATACCTAAACTTAATTGTACAGAGTTGAGATGCTAATTAAAATTGGTATTTTTAATCTGTACTGTCCCTGACAAAGTATAGAAGCATAATGCAAAACTATAAATGCTTCCCATCCTGCTTTAAAATGTATTTACATCAGGCAAGCTTTCGTATGTGAATTTTTAATGTTGGTTTTACTTGGATTTTTAGACCACTATTCCAAAAGGATGGAAACTTGCTTGCTTACAGTGTCATATTTAAGAGCCAGTGACTTTCCTGGCTCCTGAGCATAAAAGCAGAAGAGGATGATGGAATGGTCTGTAAGTGAGATGGAACAGCAAAAGATGAAGCAGACAAAATGGGAACAGTGGTCAGCAGTATAAATAAAGACTCAGAGCTGATTTTCCAAAAAAACACATGATGGTATCACAAATCAATGCCAAAGATTTTAGTTTTGAGTTTATATAGTGTGTGCATAACTACTTATAGCTGTACATGAATACTTAATCTTCCTCACCGTTTAATAGTAATCAAGAGTGAAAGATTTCTGATTTTTGGCTGAAATTGGTGTGCTTTGTACAAGATTTTCACATATAAAGATGGCTGCCCAGAAGCCCCTCATCTGCATTTCCTTTCCCTAAACATGTTTCAGAGGGGTATTTGTTAGTCTGTATAAGTAAAAGCAATGTGGCATCCTTGTGGCACCTAACAAATTTATTTGGGCATAAGCTTTTGTGGGCTATAACCTACGTTGTTTTCCCTAAACAGAGTATGATAAGCTATCTCAGACAGTAGGGCTGCTGACAAATAACCTTTTTTAACTGCAAAAGACCTATTTGTTAAAAGTGAGAAGAAATGTAAATCTGTTATCTAACCCTTTGTGCAAATTACTGAAAGAATCTTTGATTATCCTATGCTGATCTTGTGTAAACTAATAGGCATGCTGTTCTACCAGTATTTAACACACACATACCAAGGTTCTCAACTCAGGGTATATAAAAACTTAAGTACTTAATAGTTGTATTTCAAAGAAATGTATAAAAGTTACTCCTGTGGTGGGGAAAAAACACTTGATCTTAATTTGACTTGTTCCTATGTGGAACCTCCTTTCCTGAAAATTCTTCTAGTAGTTGAAGCTGTGCTCAAAATGTACAGAGCAGTTTTATAACCAGTGAAAGTAAACTTTTTGTTTTAGTCATTGTTTTTGTTTTGCAGTGTAATGTTCAGGCTCAGAAATGCCTTATGTGGATCGTCAGAATCGCATTTGTGGTTTCCTAGACATTGAAGAAAATGAGAACAGTGGGAAGTTTCTGCGGAGGTACTTTATCCTGGACACTAGGGAAGACAATTTGGTATGGTACATGGATAATCCACAGGTATGACAACATCTGGAATAAAATTGTGGAAGTTACCAGAAGTCAAATATTTTTTTGACCTAAAGCAAATCTATTGTATACATGAAAGAGGGTTTCAGAATGAATTTCATCAAATTTGCAGCTCTAAATAAAAGCTTTTACATAAAATATTATCAAAAAGAAAAGGAGTACTTGTGGCACCTTAGAGACTAACCAATTTATTTGAGCATGAGCTTTCGTGAGCTACAGCTCACTTCATCAGATGTTTACCGTGGAAACTGCAGCAGACTTCTGCTGCAGTTTCCACGGTAAACATCTGATGAAGTGAGCTGTAGCTCACGAAAGCTCATGCTCAAATAAATTGGTTAGTCTCTAAGGTGCCACAAGTACTCCTTTTCTTTTTGCGAATACAGACTAACACGGCTGTTCCTCTGAAACCTGTCATAAAATATTATGTAGCTAAAGCATTTGTGTCCCACTTCCTCGATTAGACTACTCTGTGAAACTCTTTATTTGTAGGGGGAAAACTGTAATTAATGTTTCACAGTTTAAATAATTTTGTTAGCATTTGGAGTTCACAGTCACACCTGGAAAATTCAAGCAGATCTTGAATTCAGTATAACATGCATTGTAGTGGCATAGATAAGGGATTTGAAATACAGGTATAAGTTCAGAAAACTCCTGAAATCAAATCCAACTTGTATTGGATAATACAGTATACAGCATGCACATCTATCATTATCAGTAAGTACTTAAGCATGGTGCCTTTTCTCTATGTTGAACAAGTTTGGTTTTCTTATTTTTGTTTTCTTTTTTTGGTCTGTGAACCAGGACCAAGGCTTGGGGAAACTTTAAAGCTCAGATATAAAAACTGTTAAAACTTCAGTTTCACAGCACTTCTCAGTTTTTACAGAACTAACATCCACTAACTAAAATACTTTTCAGTATTTTTAATTATACCATTGCTTTTTAAATTACACTCTTGATTACCCTCTTGCTTTTCTCAACTGAAATTCTACTATATTTTAAAATAAAATATCTCATGTTAGAATTATAGGTTAGTGCTTTATGCAGTTACACCAGTTTTCTGCTTCCTATCTCTAATGGTCTGAAACCACAGCCCCTAAAATCAAGTTATAAGTGGTGTGAGAGAGGAAGGGCAAGTTGTTAACAAGAACTAATTAGATTACATTTTTAAGGCTTGTTTTGCAAATTAATAGGGCTAGAAATAAATGACATACAACCACAAAAATAAGGAAATAGGATGTAACTTTCAGAACTAGTCCTCATAGTTAAAAATATTTTATTTGAGATCTGAATTATTGCGTAAGAGCAACCATTCCAAACTCTGGGCATGCTTGGCAAACTATTAGAAATACAATTAGTACGTAACACTCTTTCCAAAACTCAGTGTGTGTGCTACCCTGGGAATAATGTGAGTATAGCCAAAAAACAGTGAAATGTCCTACCAGTGACCCCTTCCGTTATACCAGTGAAATTCTAACTCATGTACTTCTGCTGACTGCAACTGTGGCAGTGTCTCCTGAAGAAAAAGGTAGTCTCTTTAAATAGGTAGGTTCCAAAACCATTTATATCTTCATTGGTCAAAACCAATACCTCAGAATCAATCCAGGAAACAGTAGGCAGCTACTACAGATGAGATATATTCTATTTGCTCACTAAATGACTCACTGTTTCACAAGCAGTCTACCAGATTCTGCATCAGCTACATTTTCTGGATCGATCCAAGATGTGTTCCCATGGAGAGTATATTGCAGTTGTCTGATATCAGACTGACAAAGACATGGATTAGAGTTGCAAGAGGAGCATCTGAAATAAATGAGGATGAGAGAAGCTGATCTTCCCCTGGCTTCTTACTTTTCTAATTGTTTGAAGTTTTTAACCAGATCCCCAGATTGCAAACCCAATACATAAAATCATAGAAGACTAGGGTTGGAAGAGACCTCAGGAGGTCATCTAGTCCAACCCCCTGCTCAAAGCGGGACCAGTCCCAACTAAATCATCCCAGCCAGGGCTTTGTCAAGCCTGGCCTTAAAAATCTCTAAGGATGGAGATTCCACCACCTCCCTAGGTAACCCATTCTAGTGCTTCACCACCCCCCTAGTGAAATAGTTTTCCTAATATCCAACCTAGACCTCCCCCACTGCTCCTTGTTCTGTCATCTGCCACCACTGAGAACAGCCTACCTCTATCCTCTTTGGAACCCCCCTTCAGGTAGTTGAAGGCTGCTATCAAATCCTTCTTCTGGCAATGGATGATGCTGAGCTAATGCCACTGGAGTTGTCCCTGGACCTTAAAACTGTTGGTCCCTTAAAGTAGCGTTGGCGCAGGTTTAGGACTTCTTATAATTGAAGTACTGCGTCTTTAGGCTATTGCATTTTTCAATTTTAATACTTGCCTTTCTTAATGAGGTGTTGATGTTTATTTGGAAACTACTTGCAATCCTTAGATGAAAGGTGTTACGTAAGTGCAAAATACTAAATTCTTAACTCTGCTTCCATATTTTCAAGATGCACACATCTTGATGCATTGTGTATCCATATACACCTCTACCCCGATAAAACACGGTCCTCAGGAGACAAAAAAATCTTGCCGTGTTATAGGTGAGACCATGTTCTAGAGAACTTGCTTTGCCTCCCCGTTCCTTGTTTCCTGACCACCCCACCTCCTACCCAACCTCCCTGTCCCCTGACTGTTCCGACCCCTATCCACATCCCCCACCACCTGACAGGCAGTCACTGGCAGCAGCGGGAAGTGGAGCAATGCGGCCCCAGCCTGTGCCACTTCCCAGATGCGGCGCTCCGCTTCCCGCCGAAAGTGAGGGTGGGGAAAGGATGCCCCCTGTACTCACCTGCTGCGGGAATATGTTGAAATTTTCAGCAGTCTTAGTACCAAATGTTTTTACCAACCTCATCTGTAGAAGATTAGTTACAAACATTGTAGTTTAACCTTTGCTCATGCCCACCTCCAAAAAAAGTTTTCATTTGTCTCTTTAAAAAAAATCTAAATCAATAATGGGATTTCTGTACGTTAAAAAAAAAGACGAATACATACTTTAAATTTTGCTTCATTTTTGTCCCAAGACCAATAATCCTGGGATTTGTGATACTTGGTAGGAAATAATTGCATCATATGTTAAAATGTTGTGTGAAATGTTTTGGTGACAGTTGTGTTAAGTCTCATTGAGAAGCATGAGATCTTAAACTTGGCCTTTAGAAGATTAATACAGAAGCAAGATTTTTAGGCATGTTTTAAAATGAAATTTTTACTTCTGCTTAACACTCACAAAAAACTTCATTGAAGTCACTGGAACTACTTGCATACATGAGCATCTGGGATTAAGTCTGGGAGCTCAACTTAAATTCCAGCTGATTTAATTCTCTTTAGTTTTAGTTATTACTTGTGGATGTTAATTGCAAAACTTAGTCTATTCTATTAAAATAACCAGTGTGGATGTGCAAGGGTAAGAGAGTGAGTGACAGCATAAATTAGAAAAGACTATCTTGAGTGAGAATTTGTGGTGGGAGGAGAATAAATATAGGGAAATGTGTACATGACAAACATGGCTTCATTCCCTCTTTTTTCCCAAAATAGGTCATGACGTAGCTTTTCTTGTTAGTTACTTTCTTTTTGTCCGTACCTATGTATTTTTAACATAAACTGTCCTATTATGGAACAGAAGTGAAGTGAAACTGAAGATAAGAAGGAATGATAAAATAAAGAGATGCACAGCAAGTTTCACTGGAAACAAATTAAATAGAAAGTTGACCATATTTTACCACTGAATGCAGTAAAACGTACATAATTGTTTTGCTCCTTTAAATTGCAATTCCCAACTATAGACTTGCTATGAAAAATAACACAAATACGTGTTAATATGCTAATAGGCCAGTGCGTGGTACTTGTTGCTGTTTCTAGTATCAAGAGACTGTCACAATCCAAACTGCAATCAGGCTTGTAGACTTAACATTGCTGGTAAGGAACTTGTACACCTTCCATTTTCCTCCAGTTGACTTAATATCCGAGTCTCTTGCAACAATACTAATGTATTTTAGAAAGTACTGTTACATAAGGAAAGCATTCTTGGAGGTAGCTGAATGTCCCTTTTCTATCAAAATATGTAAGATGCCATCATCTTGACTCAACATCTGTTAAGGAACAAGTGTGCTTTTAGGAGCATTTCCTGGTTACAAATCTGCAAGAATTCTTTTTCTTATAGTAAAATGCATAAATCTCTGAAACAATTAACACCAGCATTATTTCCAACAACCATTCAGTTTTAGTTGATTACCAGATGTTTGTTTAATAAATGAAACCAAATAGTTTAAATCCTGTTAAAGCATACATTGTGTTGGATGTTGTATTGTGAATGCAAGTGTATAGAATTTTTTTTGTTCATGAAGCTTAGATTAGATTCATGATGCATGTATATATAGAACGTGTTATGTGGTAGGAGGATAATTTAGTTTCATGCCATATTATTTTGCTTTTTTTTTTAATAGAACCTTCCCTCTGGCTCTCCACCTGTTGGAGCTATTAAACTTACCTACATTTCAAAGGTATGTCAGTTGACCTATAAGTGATATACTTCTTGTCTATGTGTAAGATTGTAATTCTATCAGTAGATTTTGGTGATACTAGCAGCTATGATTTTATGAAATTGCCAGAACTCCTTACTGAATAATTTTAATTGACGAGAGTTAAGACACAAGCTGGAAGAAGGATGAAAAGATTAGAAAACATATCTTATAGACTCAAGGAACTCAAACAATTTAGATTAACAAGGAGAAGGTTATGTGGGGGAGGGGGTGACTCGATTAGTCTGTAAGTATGTACATGGAGAACAAATATTTGATGGGCTCTTCAGTATAGCAGATAAAGGTATAACCAGAACCAGTGTCTGGACATTGAAGCAAGACAAATTCAGACTGGAAATAAGGCATGAATTTTTAATGGGGGTAATTAACCACTGGAACAATTTATCAAGAATTGTGGTTGATTCTGTGTCACAGGCAACTTTTAAATCAAGATTGGATTTTTTCTGAAAGTTATGCTCTAGTTCAAGCAGGAATTTATTCAGGGACATCCTGTGCCCTGTGTTGTTCAGAAGGTCAGACTAGATGGTCACAGTGGTCTCATCTGGCCTTACCTGTGAAATTACAGGTAGTAGATTTGTGGGGTATATCTGATGATATACTAGGGGGGGGAATTAATGTGGTTACTGCTCCTGAAGTTTCAAGAAACATTAAAAGCACTAGAGCTAGTCAAAGCAGTAGGGAATGCAGAAACCCGTCTAGGTGTTCTTTTTAACCGGCTTCTTGGTGATACTTGTCTAGATTTGCTTCCAAAAAATTAAATTCCAGCTATTCGTCCTTGTATGTAATAGAATTAGCATTCTAAACTGTGGATTCAGGTTGAACTCTAATTTGAACCTATTAATCTGTGTTCCAATTTGCCTCTGAGAAACTGAAGCCATTTACAAAGGAAAGAATACTCATTTAATATGATAGTTTGCAGATCGTATAATCTCTTAAAGAGCAACGCAGGAAACTTCTAGAAACAATTTAATCAGAAACTAAATACTTGTAGGGGTGCAAAAATTCATAGAAAATGGAGCAGAAGGAAGCAAATTTTGAGGTTAGGTTGATAGAAAATATTACAATGTCCTGTAAGAAATAAAAAGAATGGGAAAATGAAATTGCCTTCTCTTGTCCATACATCTCATTCCTGTTCTTCCTTTCTCCAATTATTTTGATACCTTTACTTTCCTTTTTTACTATCTTCTACGATCCATTCTGCAATCTTCTTGTCTTCTGGTTAACTTTGGGTGACATTGGGTCATAAGGGTAGGTAGATGTCCAGGGACGCTACCACCGATGTGCTTACAACTATCATCATTCATCTCGTATTTGCTTAATTTGCCCTAAATTACACAGCTCTTCTTGAAATTTCAAGTCCTAAATCTGAAAAGGTGCACAAATCAGGTTTGGGTTGAAGGAATGTTACGGTGATGAGACACTAGAAATGCATTAGCGGAGGAAGAGGGTTAATAAAATCAAAACTCAAAAACAAAATCCTTATTCCAGACTTTTATTTATCCCACAAAACTTTTTGGAGTTCATGAAGTCCAGTAGGGACTTTGCTGTTGCTATTGATTTCACATTCATTATGCTGAAATACTACTAATGGGTAGCAATTTAAAATCCTAAAATAAAGATGAGACTAGCTTCCTTCACTTGTTGTGCTTTAGATGCTTGGCAGAATTTAACAAGTGTCAAGGAATGGCTTTCACTTTCCAGGAATGAGATGGGTCCCTAAATGTAAGGAATAGAAACATATATTTTATGTTTCCATGTAATGTTGAACTGTTAATCTTAAACTGAATGTGTATGTTGTTATATAATGTACACACTAGATATTGTACATGTAATGTCACTTACAGTATTTATTATACATGTTAATTTTCTTATTAGGTTAGCGATGCAACTAAGCTAAGGCCAAAGGCAGAATTCTGTTTTGGTAAGTTCTAGTGTATTCGACATCTGTCAAATTGCTCTTTTTAAAATAAAAAATAAAAAAAAAATAAAAAATTGAAACCAGGGTATGTTCTGCAGTTCTAATATTAGGTACTACCGGTAGTGCTTGTTTGTTCTAAATTTATTTATATTCCTGATTTCCTTCCTAATATAAAGGGAGAACGTTGGTTTCTTTTATGAGTTTTTAATGGCTTTTTAAAAACTGCAACTTACTGAGCTACAAGTGACTAGCTGGCAGCTGTTGCTGGGATGTTTTGGGGCTTTTTTGAATCAGTAGGTAAACTAATTAATTTAAATAAAGAAGATGGGTTGTTCTCAGGGTATCTGACACAGATAATTCAGCTCTGAAGGCAAGTAAGTGAACTATTTTAATCTGTATTATAGAGGGAAAAGTTATGTTGATATTGTAGATACACCAATATTAATGATGCCTGCCAAATTGTTTGTTGTGTTAAACTTTGGTCTAATGGTTAATGTTATGCTTAAGAAAAACGTTTTGTTTACTCTGTTTACTGGCAGTTTAATCCTTTAGCATAAAGTGAATTTATAGCTCTGATTCTTTTTCTAAAAGCACACATTTATTCTCCTTTTCTTCCACTGTTTAATGTATGAAATGGCATTTGTCCAGGATTTTTCATAATCTAGAATCCTGTGACAGAAGCAATTTGGATCTTGAAAGTTCTCTGCAAAAACAGAGCAGTTATTCATCCCAATCTGAAAATCTAGCCTTATATCTACATTCAAAGAAATATTTTGACACAGCTGTTCAATAAATGTTGCTGGAGATATATCTAGGTTATACTTTCTCGAACACACTAGGTAAAAGTATATGTTAAGCTTGTTTCTCCTTTCTGTTAACTATTCCTTGTTTTATGGGAGCACAGCTATAGATCCAAAAGGCAAACTAGTAGTCCTCTATGCTGCTTCCTCTCAATATGTAGCCTACTGTGTGCAGTTGTAAAATGCAGATTGCATGGCCAGATGCTTAGACAGTTCCTATTACCATACATAGGCACGACTCCTGTTGATCTTGGGGCCTGTCACTGGAAACACCTGTATGCATTTTTTTCTCACTAGTTCTTTGAAGCTAAAAGCTGGTATTTTTGATGTGTTTAATGTGTCAAGACTTGACTGTAGATCCCATACAATTATGTAACAAGAACAACATAATATGAAAATAGACTTGTACAATTTGTGCATTTGTTTTCTGAAGAGCGTGTTACGCACTTTGGTCTCGATCCTCACATCTGAGTTACCCATGTTCAGTACAGAAACTGAAGGGATGGACAGCAGCGAGGTGGCTCCCCCAATTCTTGAGGCTGCTGAGGGCTCTGTAAGTTAGAGAAGCTTCAGGACTGCTGTACAATTAATACCTGCCTACAATAGCCCCAAGAGATGGCTGGAGACTTCCAGAACATAGCAGTGTTATGACTGCGTACTTCACACTGCAGTCTGAAGGTTATGGGGCCACCTGGGGATTTCCCAGCACCGTGGGTATCTCCAGCTGACCAAGTAGCCCAGTTCTACGGTGGGTTTGTGTTACCCGGTCAGCTCAAAGCAGTCCCTTATAGATGCTGCAATTCACATCTCCATTGTCTGTACTGTGGTGCAGCCTAGACACAGCCTCAGTTGAAAAGATAGGTGTAATTTGTCCTCCTTTGATGTAATTGGTCTTTGGCAGTATTGTTGGTCCTGCCAGGTAAAATAGGAAAGAAAGGGAGTGGGGGAAGCTTATGCACATTTTGCTTATGCACATCTGCTCTGTTAAATTATCAAAATATTTTGAGAATTATATTTTAAATAAGAATTTGGACTTTTTTTTTCTGCAAGTGTTACATACTGTATCAAATTTTTAACAATCTCATTCCACAGTCTTGGATGTTGTGGATTGATAGTTGACACTACTGTCGTCAGTTTTAGCCCAACTTGTGAAAATGTAATGGATCATTAAGAATGTCACTGACTGAACAAAAAGAAAAGGAGTACTTGTGGCACCTTAGACTAACAAACTGACTGAACAACGTGGGCAGCAATGGACTAGAGCGTTATGACAGAATACGTTGATTTTGCTATTCGGCCTAAGTTTTCAATCTTGAGTGAAGATTTAACGTGACTAATGTTTAATGTAAACCAGATCTGTTCCTACTTCAGGATAAATACTTTTCTACTGATTATTAGCTTATGTTAATGTATTGGCCTTGACCTTTACTCTGGGAGCCCTGTAGTTTGGACTATTGACATGTGTATTGCAGCACACATGCTGAAGTGCTGAATTGTAACTACCTTGTGTAGATGCTGCTGGTGTGAACTAAAAGTTACCTAGTTTTGCTTTTACGTAGTCCTGTTTGAAGAGGGATACATTAACAAGAGCTGGGTATCTTTGGGTTTGCGCTAGCAGCATTCATACAGAACAAATTTAGCATAGCAGTTTAATGCGTGCTGCAATTCACATCTCCATAGTCTGTGCTGTGGTGCAGCCTAGACACAGCATCTGTTGAAAAGATAGGTGTAATTTATTCTCCTTTGGTGTAATTAGTCTTGGGTAGTGTTGGTACTGCCAAGTAAAATAAGAATTGGCTTGAGTCAATAGACTGCTAAATTCTGATAGTAAAATAAGAATCTTTGTATACATTTTGAATATTTTCTTTAAAACAAATTTTAGTTTAAATAAAACCAGTTATTAAATAGAGCCCCAAAGTTCATGCAATTCATGATCATGCTTCTACCCAGGACAAAAAGTAGAAATATTAGTCTGATCTTAAGTTAAGTTGTCCCTTAAATGCTACGTTTTCAAATTAGACCAGACTTACCTATATTAGTCTGTCTACATTTAATAGGAGTACTCTGAATGTCTATTTTATAACTTAAATGTAAATTGTGCAACTTTTATTATTTTCCTTAATCTTTCACTTTCCTCTGGTTCTTTTCCCCTGAAAATACAATTATATTTTAGTTTCTCCCATCTTAAAAATACCCATTCACGACCCCACTTGCCTCTCTGTCTACTTCCCCATCTTCTTCTCCTTTTCCATCTTTAAGATAATTGCACACGGTGTTTACGATCGCTGTCTAGAATTCCTAGACCCTCTTCAATCTTTCACCCTTTCTGCTCAACTGAAAACACAATTACCAAAGTGTCTAGTGATCTCTCTGTAGCCAAAACTCAGAAACAGCACTCCATCCTTGTCCTCTTTTAGCTGTCGGCCACCTCCGACACAGTTGACTATGCTGTTCTTGAAATCTTATCCTTCCTTGGCTTCTGTAATTCTGTCCTCCCCGGTTCTTCTACTTTTCTAACTGCTCCTTGAGCATATCCTTCAGAGAATCCTCCTCCAACTTAAGGTAGGGATTCCTTGGTTTCGTTCTCTTTCCTTCTGCACCTTATCTCTGGGAAATCTCTCTCACACACACGCATTCAATTTAACAGTTCAGATACATGTCTCTTGTTGAAATTAAACTCTGAGCCTGTCTCGTATCATCTTCCCATGGATGTCTAGCAGTCAGCTCAAGCTCAACATGACTGCAACCAAGCTCCCCCAAGCCCTCTCCGCTACTTCCTTTCTCAATCACTGTGGGCAACATCACCATCCTGCACGTCACTCAGCCCATAACCTGAATATCATCTTAGACCCGAGTCTAAGCTTTCATGCTTGTTAGACCTTTCTCTAGGTTTTCACATCTAGGCTATGTCTAAATCTTCCAGATTCTTTCTGCATAACTTCACTAAGATACAGCCTTTCTGATTGATCCTCATAGCTAAAACTCTCATTCAGTTATTACCTCATATCTTGATTACCACAGCATTTTTTCCTCTGGCTTCAGCAATTGTAATCTTGCCCCATTCATATCCATTCAGAATGCTGCTGCAAAGCTCCTTTTTTTCTAGCCTGTTGCTTTAACCATGTCGCCCCATTCTGCATGCTCCACTGGCTTTCATTTTCAGTGCTTTTCATGACTTATCTCTCATTTAATATTGGAAAGGTTGACTCCCACCTCTGATTGGCCTATGGTGCCAGCTTCTATTGCCCACTTGTAAAATTTTCAAAGAAGCACTATTGTGCTTCTTCCAATGCTGCCCCTAACGCTTGGGAGAAACTTCCTGTAAATATCTGCAAAACTAACTCATTCTTCTAATATTGCCTTAAAACAGAGGTGGGCAAACTATGGCCCGTGGGACCATCCTGCCCGGCCCCTGAGCTCCTGGCCCGGGAGGTTGTTCCCTCCCCTGCCGCCACGTGGCACAATGCTCTGGGTGGCAGGGCTGCAGAGCCCAGCCTGAACCAGTGCTCTGTGCTCTGTGGCTGCCTGTCCTGGTACAGCCACGCTGCCAGCCATGGGCGCTCCAGGCAGCATGGTAAGGGGGCAGGGAGTAGGGGCAGGGGTTTGGATAGAGGGCAGGGGAGTTCAGGGCGTGGTCAGGGGTGTGGATAAGGGGTCGGGGTGGTCAGAGGGCAGGGAACTGGGTTGAATGGGGGCAGTCGTCCCTGGGGGCAGTCAGGAAGGGGGGGGGGGCTAGAGGCGAGGGGTCCGGGAGTGGTCAGGGAGAAGGGGGTGGTTGGATGGGGCAGGGGTTCCGGGGGGTCAGTCAGGAAGGAGGGGGGGTTGGATGGGGCGGCGGGGGGGCAGTTGGGGTGGGCGGTCAGGGGACAGAGATCAGGGGTGGGAGGGTGGGGCAGGGGCTGTCAGGGAACAGGGAGGCTTGGAGGGGGGCCGTCAGGGGACGGGAAGTGGGGGGGGTTGGATGGGGGCGGGGGCTGGGCCATGCCTGGCTGTTTGGAGGGCACAGCCTCCCCTTACAATTTCAGAAACCTGATGCGGCCCTCAGGCCAAAAAGTTTGCCCGCCCTTGCCTTAAAACTTTCCTTTCACAATAAGCCTACAAAAAAACTTGAGAATGGTTAGGCTGCTGTTATGATGAGACCACAGCTTACCATGGTGACCAATATTGTCTCATTGTTTCCTTGTTCTCCGCTGTTGGTTGGTCTGTACCCATCTGTTGTCTCTTTCCTTACACTTAGATTATAATGTCTTTTTTCCCATATTTGTACAGCACCTAGCCCAATAGGATTCTGATCCATGACTGAGTGGTCCTAGGTACTCTGATGATAGAAATAAACAGTAATCTTTTATGTGCAAGCTAGAAAAGAACCCAGTACTCTGTGTAATGGATTGGAAAACATCCAGAGGAAAATCCTACTTGATAGAGAAATAAGCCATTTTCTGGGGAGCAGTAATGTTGAAGTGTGGCACTAACATGCCTAGACAGATTAACAATTCAAATTGTGCATCAGTTCTCCAATAGTACAATAGACAAATCCAAAAGAGTGATTAGAAGTCATTAAAAACCGATAGCTAGGGAGTAATAATTGATAGTCTTGATTGCACTTAGTAGGTTTGAGCTTATCCCAACCCCAAACAGGTTAGTCCAGGTGGATAGCGTGTTTAACACAAAAGAATAGTTGGGGGAGGAGAACTTGTTGCCAAAGATGAGAATTGGTCAGACTGGAAAGGGAAATACCCAGACTCTAACAAGCATGAAAGCTGGATGTAGTGTGAAATTTAGACTAAACTGAGTCAAGGAGGGACTGCATAAGATGGCGACCTCTTATTACAACAAGGTTTTTTTCATGGCTGTTTTCTTACAGCAATTCCTATGTTGGGTAGTAAAGTATTAACTGGAAAGTTTTTGAAAAACACAATTCATATCTGAAATTATTTAGCTATGTGTAAAACAAGATAAACTTAAAGTAGCTGTAAGTTTCATGAGATTTCTGTGACAGTATTGCATAAAAGAGGAAGATGGAATAATCCAAGTTGAGTATTTAAACTGTCTGATTTCAATTATTTTTTCAGTGCAATTTAATTACTTTCTAATATCTTAACAGTTATGAATGCGGGGATGAGAAAGTATTTTCTACAAGCCAATGATCAGCAAGACCTAGTAGAATGGGTAAATGTTCTGAACAAAGCTATCAAAATCACAGTAAGTAGTTCTATTAATTTTTCCACAATTGAGAGCATTAATCATCTGTAAAGAGACATTGTCAAATAGAAATCTAGTCAATCTCAAATTTTACATCGCCCTCAAGGATCATTGCTGATTTTTGTAGATTTTTTTTGTCTTTTAAAAATTGTTCTCTTCCCCTATTGCTAAGCCCCATACAAAAGGAAGAAACTGACTCTACAAGGGAAAGAGGGAAACAGACTGAAGAATATTTTATTTTTACTTAGAAAATTTTACAAAAATAGATTTTATCTATTTTTTCAATAGTAACAATAGTTTACAAAATTACTGAAGTGTACTTTTTAGTTAAAGTATTTGGTCTTTCTTTTTTTCTCCTTTTGTGGAAGAGGTTGATACGACCATATTGTAGTTTAACCAGTGCAGTTGTTTTCTGGTCCCTTCTGAGTTTAATTTAGCAATATTTGAAGAGAATAAAGTTTGTTATCGGGGGCTTTGATATTCAGTTGCATCTAATGCAAACTGCTTGTATGTCATGGCATTCCACAGATCCTGACAGTGAAGGGTTAATTTAACAAATAAGTTGTTCTTATAGAGGTTTTTGTTTTGCACCAGACCAGCTTGTTACCACATGACCAAAAATGCCCACAGGTTACGTCTGATCTCTTCATGAAGCAGAAGTTACTTTAGCCTATTTTCCTTCGTGCTGTTTCAGAGAGAAAACTTCATAAGTGTGCTTCCAAATAAACACACAAGGACTCAGACTGAGCACAGTACATGTATTTGTACTCCAGCTCCCAGTTTTCAGTAACCTGCTCCTCTTTAGGGTGCCTAGGGAAGTGGCATTTCTAATTGTTGACATGGTTGCTATTTGATTTAGCTCATTTTTTTGGTGGAATTACAAATATATTTGTAAAAATATTTTGTTTCTACTTTAGGTTTGTTACTGTTGCTTTCCAGTTAGAAAATAAACTGTATCAAAGCAATGTATTAGATAGTATTTGATCCTTATTTTTAAAAAATACCTAAATAGAAACTCTTTGAGGATATCACACACAGAAGTACTCTACAGTGTTAGCATTTTAAAAATGGAGTAAAATATGTTCACTTAAAACTTAGTAGGATTTTTTATGTTAAAAGCTGCATAGCTTTCACTAATTGTTGAGTACTTTATTGCAGTTCAAAATCAAGGAATTTAGTTTGTCAGAGGTGATTATAACGTGTCAAATTTGCATTTCAAAAGGGCTGAATATATGAGTAGGCTTCATTTGCCTAAAACAAGTCCGATTGTTTAAATACTGGCCAATTGTTTTGTGCTAGTTTGTTTTAAAGTTATTTGATAAGAGTTATCTGAGAATTCTACCTAACTTAAGGAGAAGATCCCAAGTATAATATGGAGTCATAACAGTTGACTAGTTTTTCATAAGTATGTAGGTAGTGGCATTACTTATTGGAACTGCTAACATTCTAGGCAGTGTTGAATTTTACTGCATTTTATTTACTAATTTTTTCAAAATGTAACCTGTGAACATATATCTGGTAGTTCAGTGTATTCTGTAGTTACTATTACAGATTAGAATATTCTTTTGGCACAGGGAGTCAGGATTCCTGAAATTAAATTTTATTGGGTTTAGACTGTTTTAGTTCTAGGTATCAAGTACCAGTACCACTTCCCAAATTTGGGGTTAAACTTTGCCAACTAGGTAGACTTCATTGAGTTTGAAATACTCTGTAACATAAGGATCTTATTGTCATAATTTATGGAGTGTCTCCATTATTGACAAGAGTCCTACATCTCCTCATTGGGCTCAGAGCCTGAGGGACAGATATTGCCTTCACACTCTTTAGATCACTGAACTGGCCACAGAGCATGGACTCAGGTTCTAAGCCCTCATATGATGTCCTCCTGTTTGAACAACCCAGATGCAAAATACCTTCCATGGCCTTGCTGGTTGTGGCCTGTCCCAAGGGAACTTAGGGCCCCATCAGTCTCTCTCATCCTCTTGTACAAGAACTTATTGAGTAGGCTTATCAGCTTGTACACCTCACCACAGGGTTGGACCCTATTAAGGAAGAAGGAATCATGGAGGAACCCCTAAACCCCTAAATACTTCCACGTATTTCCTCCTCTCTGGAGGACACTCTTATACTTGAGTCCACTTCTTCGCCACCAGAGGAATTCAAGGTCTTTCAGTACCTGAAAAGAGAAGTTGGCCATTATAACAAAGCAGCCTTTGGCGGGACACTACTGAGAATATCAGTTCAGGACAAACTGCTTAGAGCAGGGCAGTCACAGCCCAAGGCTGGGGGTCCTTCACTACTAAGGCACACCAAACCAGCTAAACAGAGAGGACTTAAGTCTTACCCCACTGGCTAACCAGAAGTCATACAAGCAATTCCCTCAGACGCTTCAGTTTCCCAGAATCACACAGGCACCACTCCTTCTGGGGATGAATGGTTATGAAAACCAATACCCCAGTAAAAGAGAAAAAATTCTCCCGATCCCAAAGGACCAAGCCCCAGACCCAGGTCAATATAAAAATCAGATTTTGCCCACAAATCACGCTGTTGCCAATCCTTTAGAATCTAAAATCTAAAGGTTTATTCATAAAAAGAAAGAAATATAGATGAGAGTTAAAATTGGTTAAATGGAATCAAATACATACAACAGTTGCAAAGTTCTTAGTTCAGGCTTGTTTCAGGCTTGATAGGATTACTGCTGATTTAAACCAATCAAGTCTTTGGACTACAAACATCCCAGAATGCATGGGTCATTCAGTCCTTTTGTTCAGAGCTTCAGTTTCAAGCACATTTCCTCCAGTGGTCAGAAGCAGGATTGAAGACAAAATGGAGGGGTTTCCAGGGCCCTTTATATCCTTTGCCATGTGGAAGGACCCCTTTGTTCTTACTGTGGAAAATCACAGCAGCAAGATGGGGTTTGGAGTCACATGGGCAAATCACATGTCCATGCCTGACTCAGTTTGCAGGTAGAGCAGCCATTGCTCACATGTTACCTTGAACGTTCCCAGGAAGGCTCCTCAGATGTGGATTGGAGTCTCCGAAAGTCCGTTGTCACTTAAGTGTTTCTTGATAGGACTATTCTGAGTAAGTGCCCATTCTCCAAAAGCTGACCAAATGCTTCACTGATGCTACTTAGAATCAAACACATTGAGATACCAGTACATAGCCAATATTCATAACTTCAAATACAAAAATAATAGACACATACAGACAGCATAATCATAACCAGCCTTTTCATAGACACCTCACTTGACCTCATTTGTACAAGATTTGGTGCAACTATAGGACCTTGGTTGCAACAGTGATCTATACGATTACAGTTCATGTCAATACGTCACAGCCACTTTGCTGTGAGTGCCGATGGAAGTCTTTCAAGAGCATCTACATACCCTCCTTGATGTTTTACAGACCCCCCAGCTCTGGGAAGAGTTGCCCTTCCAATGAACAAGTCCTTGCTGGAGCCCACAAAAACCCACTAGCAGACCCTGACTTCAATACTACCAAGTGCCAAAAGAATGGACAGATGATATCAAGTCCCCCAGAAGGACACTGATTATTTTTAAATTAAAACCAGTACTGGCTCTGGTGGATATGGCAGCTCATGAGTGTGCTCCCACCAGTCACATACTAAAGCCACTCCTAAAGATGATGAGAGGCTTACTCCACAGAAGTGCTCCAAATAAGGATTCCCAATTATCAGGCTCTGTTGGAGAATTATAACTTCATTTATTTTTCTGCAATCATGGAGTTTGCGGAAAAATTGCTAGAGGGGTATAGGGAGCAGTTTATGGCTCTAGTTTCTGAAGGTCATCTTATGGAAAGAACTTCACTCAAGGCAGCAGACGGTTTCTCGGTCCATGTCCACCTCCATTGCCGTGAGATGTTTCTCTCTGCACCAGGCCTCCTGAATACCAAATAAGCTGCCCAAGGATCTTCACAAAATGTATGGTGGTAGTAGTAGTGGCCTACCTGCACCCCTTTGGGGTCTGAATTTTCCCTTACCTGGATGATTGGCAAGTATGCGGAGCCTCAAGAGTCCATGTGCAGTACAACCTTCTCATTGAGACAGCTGTTCAATCATCTTGGCCTGAAACTGAATTTGGGCAAATCAAAGTTGCCGATGACACAGCATACTCCATTCATTGGGGCAGAGCTTGATGCTACAACTGTGATAACCAGTTTTCAACCTGCTCTGTCTCTGGTTGAAACCCTCAAGTCCAACCCACTCACATCAGAACATTCCTGCCTATAGTTTTTTCAGCATATGGCATCGTGAACTTAAGTGACTGCATGCAGACTTCACCTCATCATCATGCAGATTTACGTACCCCACAAGTGCTTCAGTCCCTGGAGTGGTTGTTGAGACCATAAAACATTTGCAAGGGTATTCCTTTCTACCCTTTGAGCCAGCCATGACTTCAGTGAGTGGTTAGGGCACTCATCTTGACATGCTGAGTGCACAAGCCTGTGGTCATCTCAAGAAGTCTCTCTCCTCATAAATGTGCTGGTACTATGAGCCAGTATTCAAGACCTTTATGCCCATCATCAAGAATTGGGTAGCGCAAGTGGTTATACATAACTCCAGTGCCATGTGTCCTCTCAACAGACCCGAGGTGCTAGATCAGCTCAGTTGTGTCAGGAGGCAATCTGTTTATGGAACTTGTGCATTAGAAATGGAGTGACACTGAAAGCTTTCTATATTCTGGAAGTGAAAAACGCCATTGTGAAGTGAAAAACACAGGATTTTTGTTGACCATCATGAGTGGTCTGTCAGAGGGGACATCCTTCTCCAGATCATCCAGCAGTGGGGAATATCTGATAATAGATTGATTCACCACCAACCTGAACAACAAGTGCAGGTTTTGCTTCAGGGCTGGCCTTGCTCCTGGTTCCATGACAGATGCTTTTCTTTTGCTGTGTCTGGTCAGCTGCTAATATGTATTCTATTCAGATCCTCTAATCCCCAGGGCAGTCAGAAAACTGGAGAGAGAAGGCAATGT